GATACTCGTGGCAAGAGCGTGATTTCTAGTTGATATTGAGCCGGTTCGAGGTAAGTGGCTTGTCTAACTTTGTGTGGGGGACCTTTTTCCCTTAGGATATGATCTTGAATATTTGAATGCCCCGTACGTGAGGTGAGGATTGCGTAATTGAGCTAATTGTTGTAAATCCGTTTCTACTTGAAGTATTTAAATTGAGCTTTCTTGTTTACTTGATTATTTTAACTGCAAGTTTGTACCTGTGCTAGCTTAGCGACTCATGTTTAGCTGCCTTACCTGCTTATTTGCCTTAACTGTGCTATTTGTACTCTGTGAAGCATGTTAGGCTATAATTTACTACTTCGTGTCCTGATTTTTAGCATTGTTCCGAGATTTAGGAATTGTTGTTGTTGTGTGTTTAATTTGGGACTACGGGACGGCTTCCCGGGAGATCCCTCTGTACTTGAGATATTCTGGACTGAGGGTGCGGGATACCAAGAGATCCCTGGCACATGTGTTTCTATATATATATATATTGGGATACCAAGAGATCTCCGGTTTACTTATTGAGGATACCAAGAGATCCTCGGGATACTAAGAGATCCCCGACTTACTTATTGAGGATACTAAGAGATCCGCGGGATATCGAGAGATCCCCGGTGTTGATGATGAGGATACCAAGAGATCCTCGGGATACCAAGAGATCCCCCGGCTACTATTCCTTGTGAGGGCAATTTTCCGTGTATTATTACCTTTGCTTTTTATTACTGTTCTTCCTTATTTTCCTGGTTTAGATTCTCGCTGTAGACTTTATTTAAACTATTTCTGTTATCTCATTATTTATTATGTTATCTCAGTAGGGCCCTAACCTTCCTCGTCACTACCCAACCGAGGTTAGGCTTGGCACTTACTGAGTACCGCTGTGGTGTACTCATGCCTTTCCTGCGCATATTTTTCATGTGCAGATCCAGGCACTTCCTCCCAGACGTATCATCCTCGTGGTGGAGAATCCTAGCTGAGACTTGAGGTATATGTGCTACGTTCGCAGACCAGGAGTCTGTACTCTATTCCGGCTTTAGCGGATAGATCATTTTCTTTCCTTTCATGTTGTTTAGACATTCTGGTGTAGAGCAGTTTACCACATTCTATTAGCCTGTGTTTCCCGTGAGTTTCCGGGTTTTGGGATTTAGTTGCAGATTTTCGCATATTTTGAGTTGTATAGGCTGAGTGGCCTCATATACAGTTGTTATTTCCGTATGTTCAGTTTTAAAATATTATTCCGCAAATGTTAATTTGTTATTCCGCACTGTTAGGCTTACCTAGTTGTAGGAACTAGGTGCCATCACGACATGTTCATGGAGGGTGAACTGGGGTCGTGACAAGTTGGTATCAGAGCCCTAGGTTCATAGGAGTCACGGAACACAGGCCGGTTTATTAGGGTCTCGCTGGTCGGTACGGAGACGTCTGTACTTATCTACGAGGGGCTATGTAACTGTTAGGAAGAATCTTCATTTCATTTGAATTCCTCGTCGTGCGATATTTTGGACATCAATTCTAAACTTCTGACTTCTATTCTCTCACAGATGGTGATGACACGTGCTACTCGAGATAATCAGGCACCCGCGCCCCCTATTGCAGCCGTCAGAGGCCGGGGCCGGGGAAGAGGTCGAGGACGCGCACGTGGGGCAGCAAGAGCACCTGCGCGAGCTGCCGCCGAGGTTCCACCAGCAGATCCAGCCGGAGCCCAGGCACCTGGCACACCTACTACTGCCACTACTACTCCAACGCTCCAGGAGACTTTGGCTCAGTTCATGAGCATGTACACCACCTTGGCTCAGGCGGGGTTGCTTTCCCTTGCTGCTGCCACATCCCAGGCCGGGGGAGGAGCCCAGACTCCCACCGTCCGCACTCCTCAGCAGCGAGTGCAGGTTGAGCAGGTTCCCGAGATTATTCCGGCACCGCCTGCAGCACCAGTTCAGCCCGAGGATGGGTCAGCTGCTTCAGAGGACGAGCAGCGCAGGCTTGAGAGGTTCAAGAAGTATGATCCCCCAGTGTTCAGTGGATTAGCATCAGACGATGCCTTGGGATTTCTAGAGGAGTGTCATCGTATTCTCCGCACTATGGGCATCGTGGAGTCCAGCGGGGTTTCTTTCACTGCTTTTCAGCTACGGGGAGCCGCCTATGATTGGTGGGGGACTTATGAGATAGACATGTGCAGATAGGACAGAGAATGATTTCCTTATGTTCAATGTCGCGCAAATTTGGTCTAAGTCAAGTAGGAGAAATTTCCATCTAAACAAACTGGAATGCCAGATTACATATCATGTTTATATTAAGAGATGTACTATATACTACATAAATGAAATAACAAGACCATAACTAGTCTACAAGAAAGACTAAGTTATGATTACTAATTGCAGTTACTGATCCAGCATATAGGAAGAGACAGTCAAATGACTTATATTAAACAAATCCGTATATTACTTACATTATGTGAAAATGTGTAGCCAAACAAGCAGGTACAACAATGAATTAAAGATTTACTGCAACATAGTAAAAGAAAATTCTAAAATTTAATAATAGTGAAAGTGAAGTAATTGGAGAACCTTGAGCCAATTCTTTTGCTTCGCTCACGGCTTCATCAATTCTTTCCAAGTACCTGCCAAAAGTTTTTCTTATAACAAAAATGGGTTGATAGCTGCTGAGCATAAAATTTTGTAAGGATTATTACCAATCAAGCACTGGACGAGGACGAAGAGTGCCACGCCAATAATTTGAGTCCAATAAACCAGCAGCATTCCTCAGCCAATCAATCCTTGAAACTATTGCTATTGCTGTTGGTACTCCATAGCCTTTCAATATAAGAGCCAACTTCTCATAGTCATTTGTATTGTTCCCCAAGCCCTACAGAAGATAACAAATGTTCTGCTCAATCAGCATCCATTACCAGAAAAAGGTATTCAGAAGTCTAAACATTACCCTGCCACCAGTGAAAAAATTTCAGACAAAATAAAATGGTTAATATAATTAATTAAATTTACACAGTAAAAGACCAAGGTTTTACTCAAAAATTGGAGTTGGTGTAACTATGGAACTCAAATGTAGAAAAGGATGCAAACCGGAAGAATAACAGCAGGGCGAATGGTGGAAGAAGTGGTTGTTATCGGCAAGTCAGTAGCTTGAGAAATAGCAGAGCAGCGTTTTGTATTAGCATTAATGAATGTGTAGGGTGAAATGGAAGATGACCATGCTACAGCCATAGCCATCTTCCCCCACTTGCCTTCTTCAGCCCACAAATGTTTTAACCGCTTTATTTGTGCAGTTTTGTGGTCCTCATTTTCCCACCGTTGTTTCTTGCTTCAAACTTATATAATAAGTACTACTCCCTCCCTTTCAAATTAAACGAGTTAGTTTGACTCGTAAAAAAGATTGAACTTTTGAAATTTGTTATCTTAAAAGCTTAATGGGTTTTCTTTGTGAGGCCATGACTTTTGTGTGGTTCTAAAAACTTCTCAATAAGGATAAAATGAGGAGTTTAAAGTTGAATTATTTCCAAATTTAGAAATGTGTCATTTATTTGGGAATAGACTAAAAAGGAAAGTAACTCATTTAATATGAAACGGAGGGAGTACTTCAGTTATACTTTTATATCGAGTAATTTTATTTTGTGTCTCACACAACTTACATTAGTTGTGTGAGACCTCTTTTTATAGCACTTATGTGTGACCCATATATGTCTGGGACCCACACAGCCGTGAGACAAAAAAGAGGCACAAAATAAAAATTTTCTTTTATATTTGAGTTTAATTTGATGGTGTCATCTTGCGTCAGCCTAATTGTCTAATTCAATAAGTAACTTTTTTATAAACTAGTACTATTGTACTTATAAAACATCAAGTTATATTCAAAATAAAGAAATCAAAGTTGATGTTAACAATTCGAGAAAATGACAAAAGATGGCCCATTTTGTTCTGCCATAGGTTCAAAGTAGACTCTTAAATATTCTTTTGAGTAATTTTGGTCTTTTAAATTTGTCAAAAGTAAGTACTATCTTTTTCTCCTTTAAATACTTAACAAACTCTTCCTGTTAGATTCAAAGGGAATTGAGAAAAAGATAATTAATGTGAACTCACAATTGAAAGTGTTGTTTTTTAGTTTATTCTATTTTTTTGTTCATTTTTTTTTTATGTCTGATGCAGTTCTTAAGTTCACATTCTGCTATTTTTGGTCCATTTTTAATGGTTATGTGATTTTTGGCGTTACAAGTTTTGGGATTTGGCGGAGCTTTTCTAAGTTTTTAGTTAATTTTTCTTACAGACCCATTAAATATAACATGTATAGTTTATTAAACATTAGACATAGACCAATGTGCTCACTTTTCTTGAACTTAAAGGACTAAAACTGTTCAAATGATATTAAGGTGTTACTTTGAACTTACCCCAAACATAAGGGGCTTTGTTGTCATTTATTCTTTATTTTCGTGAAGAATAGAGAACCCATGGTATTACTTTGAACTTACCACAAACATAAGGTTTTTTTGGTCATTTTCTCTTTATTTTCGTGAAGAATAGAGAACCCAAACCCGCTTTATACCCGATCCATTAGTCTGTGGAGCGGCAACAAGATTCCCTCAATATTCTTGTGTTTAGGCGGTAGCAAAATTCTCAACATTCTTCCTGCTTTTCTGGCTTCATTGATTCTTCATTTTTTCTGTTCAAAAGGGTGTTGCTTTATAGGCTTTTTACATAATTTATTTTTATCAGTAATGGCGACGTTGGTACGATTAGTTGCTCGTAGTTTGAGGAGAAAGAACTTGTTCTCAATGTATTGCCCCGCTTCCACATTGCACTCCCACGCCACCAGTTTTGGTCAGTTTTAGCCTTATTCTCTTGCATAAAGAATTCTTTTTTTTTTCATATACTATTGTTTATTTACTGTCAATGATGATGATTTGGGTTGAGCTAAATTTAAGGAATGATGATTCATATCACCCAACCCAACTTGTTTGGAACTGAGGTTAGTTGTTGTTTTTGTATTGTTTATTTACTGTTGAATTTTGTGTATGCATATTTACATCTTCTATAATTTTTGTGGTTGTATGTGGGTTCATTATAAGGATTATTCTTATTTTCAAATGAATGTTACTGCGCAACTTGCTTATGCTTTCATCTAACTATGGAATGAAGACCCATATGATTTAGTTTTGGTGGGTTTTTATTGAGAAGGCGAATTTTTAGCCATAATGACTCTTGAACTTAGAAGAAGAGAACTTTTTTGAATGTATTGTTTCTGAGCATAGACAAAGCTTTCTCTTTTCTTTGATTTTTCTTTTTCAACCTTTTGGGTGGGAAGTATGAGTTTTTGCAGCTTTCTGCTGTTTGAGTTAGCCATTTCTTGAAGTTGATGACTAATATCTTTGGTAAATCACTTACATTTTCACTATTGGGAAGCACATGTAAACGGTAAAAAATATTTAGATGATTCTTGCATTAGGAAGTTGGATGACCAAAATTTGGAATTTTTAAACCATTATTAGCGAATAGATCGTCAAACTTTTCAAGACACAAGGCAGAAATTCAAGATGAAATTAAAAGAAATAGGAATGGAAGAAGGTTAACCTCCTTACTGCTGCCCCTTAAGGAGATGTGCTAAACAGAGTGATTGATGACTATGCAGAAGGTGGATTGTTATCCTCTATGTGTCCCTACTAAAGGTGAAAGGGTTATCAGCTAATGGGGTTATGTTGCATAAACTAATTTCCCAATCTTTCCATTGGTTGGTTGAAACAATCTCATGTCGACATTACTTTGAGATTTATATTTGTGTTTATGGTATAGTTAGGAATCTCAAGGTTTGCGTTCCAGGTATTAAGGAAGTACCAGAAGAAGAAAAGAGCAAGATGGTTGGGAATGTCTTTACCAGTGTTGCTTCAAACTATGATCTCATGAATGATCTAATGAGTTGTGGACTGCATCGTTTGTGGAAGGACAAGTTAGATCCCCACCCTAAGACAGGAAAAGTATCCGATTTGAAATGGAAACATTTCCTGATTATATCTTTGTTTCCTTCATTCTTTGTTTCTTGCCAGATTGGTTTCGAAGTTGAATCCATTTCCGGGAATGAAGCATCTTGATGTGGCTGGTGGAACAGGTGATGCTTTTGGTGTTGAACATTGATCTGTGCTATGTGATTATGTAAAGCTTGGATTAAAAAGAATGAAAGCATCATTGATTAGTGAGACTAGTGAACAAAAATGCTTTTAGCGGATCAGGAGAGGGTAGAAGTAAAAAAGTTTGTCTTAGAAAATTTTCTATTTTAATTTCAAATGGAGGAGCATTGCAAAAAGACCTGCATTTTATCTGCACCTTCTTTTCAGCTAACTATCTAGCTAGAATTTCTTGTCTTTATGGAAGTAAAGAATAGAATTATAAAGTTTGAACCCTGGAGTTGTCTGTCCATTTTTTTCGTTATTTCAATGAAATCTTTAGGGAGTACAGGCTCAGATGGAGAGAGCAAGCTGCCAGAGTCGATCCCCTGATGAAAGAAAAAGAGATGGTCGACTACTTTCTTCAAGCTCAAGAACCAACTTACTTTGGGCATTTGATCCGGCTGTGGGTAGGCCTTTTAATGATGTGGTAAAAATGGGAGAAATGGTAGAAGGTGGGCTAAAGTCTAGCAAGATCATGAGTTATTCTACTTTAAAAGCCACAACACAAGCAATTCAGAACGACACAGGAAGCTTGCCGGGTCAGAAGGAACACGATGATATTGCCATGGTTGTTTTAGAGTCACGACATGGACCAAAGGGTCTGCCTCACCAATATACCCAGCCTCAACTCCAACCCCAAACCTTTCCCCGAGCTCCACATAATTCACCTCAGTATTATCCTCCGAACAATATCCGGTCATCTGTCCAACCACTAGGTCACTCCCTATGGCGAGCGCCAGCACCGCATAATGCATTCTTGCCTTCACAACATTTTCGAGCACCCAACAACCCAAGAAAACAGGGGCGAGGAGGGGAACAAAGGCAAAGAAATAGTTTCACGCCAATTGGGGAGTCCTACACAATCTTGTTTGAAAAGTTAAAGCATTCTGGCCTGATTGAGCCGCTCCCCGGCTATACTCCAGACCCATATGCAAAAGGCTTTGATCCTACTGTACGATGCATGTACCACTCTAATGTCCAAGAGCATCATTGAAGATTGTCGTTCTTTGAAAAGGGAAATAGAAAGAATGATTCAAGAAGGGGTAATTGTGATCAATGACAGTGACATGGAGCATGTGAATCCTCTTGGGAACTTGCTAACTGATATTAATGATATTGTAGTTGTTAATGGTCTTGGCAATATTGATGCGGAACCCAGTGGCTAAGATGTCGTACTTGGTAGTTGGAAAGACGCTCCATCTCTTGTCTAGCTAGAGAGGAGTCTTGGTGGTTTATTTTGTTGTCATTTTTGTTGTCCGGGTTATTTTCAGGGTTGTAATCCGGATATTGTCTTGTGATTCAAACCATTCTATCCTTTTATTTTGCCTAGTTTGTTTTTAGTAGTAACTCGTTTAGTGTTGTCTAGGTTTGTTTCAGGGTTGTAACCCTAGTTTAGTTTGCTTGTTTTGTTGTTCAAACCTTTTCACCATCTGTCTAATGCAATTTTATGTTTCTGTTATTTCTAGCTATTTTTGTTTAGTTCTCTTTTCCTGTTGACTCTAGTGACATGACATGCACGCATAATTCCAAGCCTGGTCTTAAAAGTTAGTTTAATCATGAAGTAATGGAACAATTTTGAAGATGAAGGGACATTTGAGGGAAATAAGCAAAGGGATTTTGAGATCACTTCAAGCCCGAATTGTGTGAAACTGGGACAGATAGAACATAAAGAAATACTATTGAAACGCATCCTGCCGTATCAGGTTGAAGCTAAAGGCAAGTTTGCCCCTAATTGACATGGGCCGTTTGTGGTAGTGAGAGTATTGTCCAATGGAGCTTTGTATTCAACGGATGTAGAAAGCGAATGTGTGGATATGGTTATCAAGTTTGGTACAATCAAAAGATGTTACAAATGTTTTCCTTGATTTGTTTAATTGTGAAGTTTGCACTTGGCATGTTTTGGAGATTGGAATGACGAAGGCATTTAGTTCTGCTATCTAAACACTTTATCCTTCGTTACCCCTTTGAGCCTTATTTATTTTCTTTCATACCCCTCTTTCGGAATCAGTAGCAAAGATCAGGAACACAAGCGTGAAAGATAAGTAAAGGAAAAAGTGAAAAGAAAAGAATGAAAAGGGAGAGGAAAAAGAATGGAAAAAAAAAAAGAAAAAGGAAAAAAACAACAACAAAACAACAAAAAGAGAAAAGGAAGAAAGAAAACAAAAAGAAGGAAAGAAGAGAAAAGAAAAAGAAAAGAAAAATCACAACATACAAAGTAACTCCTATGTCATGAACTACGTTTGACCTGATTCCTTTTAAGGATACGTAGGTAGCCTCACAGTTCGGTCCCATCAAAATAAAAATCCAAAAGTCCCCAAGCAAGAAGCTAGGGCAGAAGTTGTGTTTGTTGTAAGAAGTCTGATTCCGAAAGTTGTAATTTTGAACCCATTTGAATTGTTTTGAGCCTTTGATATCCTTTGTTTCTAATCCTATCCAAAAACCCACGTTACGGTCCAAAGAAAAACCTTCCGATCAGTCTTCGAGAAATGTCAAGTCAAGCAAGGAGAGGTAATTCATATCAGAGGCAACACTCTGGTCCAAGAATGAGAGAGTCTTATTGGTGAAAACCCTCACGGGTACCGCAAGGCGATGAAAGCTGAGAGAAATAGAAAATGAGAGAGTCTTATTGGTAAAAAACTTCACGGGCACCATAATGCGACGGTGAGTTGAGAGAAAGACCAAAATGAGAGAGGCTTGATGGTGAAAACCTTTCGGGCACTACAAGTCGAATAAGGATTGTGAATCAGATGGGATACGCGGAGCATTGAAGCCCAATTTCACGACAAAAAGGTACGACAAGAGCTGAACATCAGATTTGCTTAACAGAATAGGCCGCAGGTGCATGTCATGGTCATTAGAGTTGGTATCCACATCCGATAGGTTTCTACTCTGTAGTTTTCTTGTTAGGAATCATCTCTTTCAATTGTCCTCTACTCTGTTCCTTTTGTCTTGTTTACTTCCTCTTCCTGAGTCTGTTTGGTCATAACAAGTGAAAAATGACTTCAAAATCTGCCACCAGCTTTCCAATTGCACAAAACGGAATCTGTTTAGCACATCAAAGTGTCATAAGTCCAGAATGAACAACAAGCGCACTGAGCTGGTAACAATCAACATGCTTTGGGATTCGTTTGAAATACAAAGGCTTGGTATATATCAATTCATGGACAATGCAACAGAATGAGGGCTAGGGTGACCGTATCAAAGGTATTTTCTGTGATAAGATTGACAAAAAGGGTGCTAAACCAGTGACAAACAAGATCTTCCAAGAAGAAATCGAAGTTATCATGGCTAGCGATAGCAATAGACCTCAAGGCCAGAGCCAGTGGTTTGAGTCAAGAAAGAACATCATACACACTGAGGTTGGTAACAATTAATATGCTTTGGGGATCATGTGAAACACAAAGGTTTGGTAGATGTCGGTTCAGGAGCAATGCAACAGATAGAAGGTATTGGGTTCGAACGAGAAGAGGTATTTTCTGGGTTAAAGTTTACAAAGGAAGTGGTTAGTCAAGGAACAAGCAGGGTCTTCGAATGGAAATCAGTTATCATGACAAGTGAAGGAGCAACAGACCTCAAGGTCAATGCCAGTGATTTAATCCAAGAAAGAACAACATACACACGAAGTGGGGGCAATGGACGTGCTTTGGGATTCATGTGAGACACAAAGGTTGGGTAGATGTCAGTTCATGAGCAATGCAACAAATAGAGGATATTGGGTCTGAACGGAGAACAGGTATTTTCAGTGATACAGATGACAGAGAAAGAGGTTAGTCAATAAACAAGCAAGGTCTTCGAGTGGAAATCAGTCATCATGGGAAGTGAAGGAGCAATCGCCCTCAAAGTCAAGGCCACAAACCAACCACCATGTTTAAACTCACAAGTTTTCTTTGTCTGAAACAGGGATGAAAGCTATATTCATATCAAAGCTTGGAAGCTGGAAATTTTCAGGTGTAATGCGCCAATTCAGCTTACGCAAAGGCTATTTAGAAGATCACACATCACCCCTAGGAGAAATACTGCCTAGTCTGGGTTTTCAAGTTATATTTTGTTGTAGGAGACACACTTCCTAAATTGAGATTTTACCCATAGGAGACGCACTTCTTAGTTTGAGTCATTGAAGTTTCAACCATAGGAGATGCACTTCCTAAGTTGATTTACACCTGTAGGAGACGCATTTCATAAATTGATAGTTCATTCATAGGAGACGCACTTCCTAGTTTGAGTCATTGAAGTTATACATGTAGGATACGCACTTCCTAAATTGATAGTTCATTCATAAGAGACGCACTTCCTAGTTTGAGTCATTGAAGTTTCACCCCTAGGAGACGCACTTCCTACGTTGATTTTCACCCATATGAGATGCACTTCCTAAATTGATAGTTCATTCATAGGAGACGTACTTCTTAGTTTGAGTCATTGAAGTTACACCTGTAGGAGACGCACTTCCTAAATTGATAATTCATTTATAGGAGATGCACTTCCTAAGTTGATTTTCACCCATAGGAGACGCACTTCCTAAATTGAGAGTTCATTCATAGGAGACGCACTTCCTAGTTTGAGTCATTGAAGTTTCACCCATAGGAGACACACTTCCTAGTTTGAGTCATTGAAGTTTCACCCCTAGGAGACGCACTTCTTAGTCTGGGTCTTTCAGGATACACCTGTAGGAGACGCATTTCCTAAATTGAGATTTCACCCCCTAGGAAATGCACTTCCTAGTTTGAGTCATTTAAGTTCGGCCCTAGGAGACGCACTTCCTAGTGTGGTTCATTGAAGTTTTACCTCTAGGAGACGCACTTCTTAATCAAGGTCTTTCAAGTTATTCTTCTAGGAGACGCACTTCCTAAATTGAGAGTTCATAGGAGACGCACTTCCTAGTTTTAGTCACTGAAATTTTCACCCCTAGGAGACGCACTTCCTAGTCTTGGTCATTTAAATTCACCCCTAGGAGACGCACTTCTTAGTCTTGGTCATTTGAATTCACCCGTAGGAGACGCACTTCCTAGTTTGGTTCATTCAGGTTTTATTTTAGTAGAGACATTTGCTAGGTCAAAGTTTCTTGGTTTTACTCGTATGAGACGCACATCCTAGTCTTGTCTTTAGTTTACTCTCATCATTGCATCAGTAGTATAAGTATAAAAATGCACACAGATATTGCAAGAAAATCTCCTAATAGAGTCCTGTTGGAAGTGGTAGGAATCTGCTTGCTCTTTGATATCTTCACCATTCTATTGTTACTTATGATTTATTCAGTTTAAATTTCGTGTTTTCCATTTAAGATCTAGTAGTTTATTATGTTCCAACAGTTATCTGTAACAAACTTGCTTCAAATTGCACGAAGGTGGTTGGTTTTAAAAATTGAATATAAATTTATGCCTATGCCTTAAGGGGTCGTTAGGTCTGAGGTATTACAAAATATAACAACAGTAATAAATCTTTGGATTATTTATTATGCATTTTATTATGAAGCGTTAATCCCAACTGGTTGATATCGACTATATGGATAATTTTCTTCCATTTTATTGTGTTTCTAGCTAAATGTGCAATGACTCTCAGAGATTTTAGGCTTATTGAGACAGACTCCATCCTTTTGCTATCTTTAATCATGTCACACCTACATACTAGTGTATCTCGAGGTCTGTGTACCATTTGAAGCTACCTTCATGTTATCCTCTACGTGTTCTGTTTGCAGCCCTCTGTCAGATGTATTCATTCTTAATTTGTCTATAACTGCACATTTATCTGTCATCCACATCTACATTACATTCATATTAGTGACCGAACATTCACCCCTCACCCCATATAATATTGTGGGTCTTTCAATTTATATCTCACTCATTTCCAATTTTTTCTCTTCCCTTTATCCTTGAGATTCATTTGTCCTATGGTCTTGTAATTTCTTAGATCTAAGTAAAAGATATTGCAGGTAGTGGGAGATTTCTTATGTGGCTTGCTAAAAGAAATTCTTCATCCAAGAATTTTCTGGGATTGGAAATTCGGCCTAAGGTATGTCGACAATAACCTTGTCTTGTTAAATATGCTTTCATTCTGTTTATATAGTAGTATTGTTCTCTGTTGGCTTCTGAAATGTGGTACTCATTGTTGAGACTATCTTTTCCTTGTACTCATTGTGGTAAACGAGCTGGGTCTGAAAAATGTGTAAGGCTTGAACAAGTCCAGATATTCCACTTAAGAAATGTTTATTGAAAACCTGTTAATGGATATCTAAATGCAGACATTTCATATCTACCAATGCCATGGTTTACTTCTTGTGCTGAAGAGTTGCGAAGATTATTCTTTCCAGTTGTGAAATAGGGTTCATCATGATTTATTAACAATAATTTGAAGCTAATTGCTACAGTGCTTGAAGATGATATTGTTCAAAGATTTTGCTGGAGAAAAAAATTGCCGCAAATGGAGTGGTTTAGGAAGTCCGTAGTTCAAGGAGAGAGATAATGATAGATGACACAGAATTAATTACTTAAAAACATGGAAATAATTTTCTGATGTGAGGAGCAAAAAGCTAGTTCAATTAAGAATGTGATGTTCGTGGTTGGTTGTATGTACCTTTGACTGAAAAGACTTGTGATCCATTTCCAAACTTGTGATTTTCTTTTCTTGATGTCACCACAAAATCATGATGTCAATTCAGGGGAAAAGCATACCACAATGCTTTAACATGTTGTTATTACTCTATTTATGGATAAAAGGGTCTACTATTACCTAACCTTGATGTTTTGCCCTAAATCCACTAAATTTTTGCTTTCCCTTTCAATTTGAGAGCAGTGTACCTGGCACAGAAGTAACGGTAGAGCCAGTAAATTGTTTGATAATAATATCTCGGTTGGCTTTTTTTTTTTTTTTTTTTTCTCCGAGTAAAATCCAGCTTCAAATTCCTTACAATCTATTCCATAAACGTACTGCACCTTCTTTTCATCTTATTTTATGTTTCTAAGAAAATAAAGCACTAAAATGAGCAGCCCTTATAATATCGCTGAGCATCATCTTTATTTTTTTGTTGCATTATTCCCCTTAACTTTATGGTTGATGGTTGACAGGTCTTTATACAATCAGATGTGCTCGACGTGGCAGTTGACATGAGGAATTATTTTGATGTGTCTGATAAACTTATGCATATAGATAGTGTTGATCCAAGTTTACCTTGTGATAGTGATGGATGGGTATTGAACAACCCAATGGGGATAAGGACCGAGAGGGAGATCCATGCAGAATTTGAAGGTTGCAAAATCTACAGAAGGGTTTACCAAAAAGTTCATTAATTTTCTGGTTCATAACTTGCTGTTGGGGAGTATGGGTCACACAGTTTTGCTCTTAGGGTGTGTTTGGTATAATGGAAAATATTTTCCGGTGGAAAATGTTTTCTTGGAAAATAAGTAGTAATCTTATTCATTTTCCGGTGTTTGGTACGCAAATTAAGGAAAATGACTTCTCAAGAGTATTCATAAATAATTTAGATATAATAAACATGAAGCCATAAACTTTCAAACCAACAACCTTCCGGATCACAAATTTCATAAACTTTTGAACCGCTAAACTTTCAAAATCGCGGAATTTTAAACCCGTAAACTTTATAATTTCTAAACCCGTAACCTTCCAAACACATAAACCTCCGAACTCACAATTTTGAAACTTGTAAAATTTTGAGCCTTTAAACCGATAAATAATAAAATTAAAATTGAAAAATATATTTTAAATTTTTTTTTTTG